AAGCCCAGAAGGCTTTGACTGTCACTAAGTTTATTTCACCCATCCTTCTTCGATTTAAGAAATATTTAAGGGAAAGCCTAGGAGGCTTTACCGTATCATTTTCAGTAAGAAAATCACCGGAACTCTGAGAATCTTAGACATAAAGCGAATCGGTTTCATAGTCTGATGACGAAATAATTTTGTTTTTCTCTTTCAATTGATTTTTTTTTTAATATCCCTACCGGAACTATATCTCTCTAAAGCCTTCCTTTTCTTAGCTCTATCCATATCAATTCAATTTTTTTGTGCCGAATTTCTTGTTCTAACCATAAGAAAAAAATAAATATTGAAGAAGAAAAAAAGAAACGAGAAGAAAAAAAAAACCAAAAATTTCATAACACAATAATAAAGAAAAATCGAATAGGAAGAGACATAGAATAGGAAAATTGAATATGAAGAGACGTGGGGTTATTATCAATAACTGTCAGACCAATAAAAAGACGTGCCTTTTTAATTTTTTTTTAAGCGCCAAAAATCGGGACAAGTGAATTGAGACCATAAAAGCGTAAAAGTGTAAACAATAGACACAATATTGTCTTAATTATTTATAGGATCAGTTATGTAAATATTTCTTGCAACGAGATAAGGGATGTCCTTTTCTCCAGGTTATGGCATTTTGTCTTCTCCTCTGAATAGTAAAGGCATGGAAGAATCTTGTATTGGCAGCTCCTTCTTTGAGCCATCTTAGTCTTGCCTTCTGTTGCCAGTACAATTCCTCCTGTCTGTGGCCCCAATTCAGACTGAGATTTAGGTTTATATTAAAATATATTTAAAATAAAGAAATTAAATTTGATTTGATGTAAAGTAAGAGAGAGATTAGTTGACTTATGATTAGTTTAAATTATGTGTGGAGGAATAGTTAATTAAAGTTTGTGATTTATAAGAATGATTGATTGATATTATTTAATTATATTGAGGATAGTGGAGTTGAGTTAAAAAAATGATTAAATTAAAATGATTGGTTTTTTCCGATCAAATTAATATCCAATAACACCCTTACATGCTACTTGTAATGCACGGGTGTAACCTCTAGTGATTTAGTAAGAAAAGAGACATCCATATATATAATTTCTAGCAAATCATTAAATAAAACCTAATAAATTTTACCTACGTGGCATTTTCCGTCCAATAACCGTACAATTTATGTGTAAGTTATCTATATCTAATATATAATTATTGGTTATTCAATTAATGTTATTCCTGAAAAATTCCCTCTCATTCCATCTAACTATGGGAAATAACCGTTCCATTTTCCATAAATTTACGTTAAAAGATTTATGGAAGTTATGAAAAAAAAGTTACAAGCAAAAACATTTTCTTCAAGCTAATTATTTTAAAATTAATATTATGTCTTTATTTTTATCAAATTAGACGTTTTTTGTATGTACCTAATTTATTTTAATAGCATAACCAATCCCTTAAAATTACTTAAATAGGTGCTATAATAATAATAATAATATTTTTAATAGTTTTTAATTAACTAATTGGTTATAACTCCTTAAATTTGTAAAAATAAAAATATATTATGCATTAGATTTTATGCAATGTATGTAGTTTTTATATATAAATAAAATAATTTATAATTATAATGTTCATTTATACTAATGATCATATTTATATGATATACTCATTATATAACTTATAATTTTAAATATAATATTTATTTGCATTTGTGCATGTGAACAAGATCGAATTGTATTGTAAATTTATGGTTTAAGAAAATTTAATTATATTTGACAAAAAAAAGAGTTGTTATTTGTTTTTTCAATAGAAGGAAATGACAGAGTTGCCAAACCTAACTATCAATTTCAGGTTCTTCATAATTTATTAATGTGCTATCTTATTTTGTTTAGTAATCATTTTTGGTTTTGTAGATTTGGAGTATCCAAACCCATTATAACTTTTAATGTAAAATGAAAAAACATCAACTAGTTTTAATTAAAACTATATTTTAAAACCTTATAACCATTTTAATTATTTATCATATATTTTCACGTGATATAAAAAATTATTATATTTTGATGATTGTTGATATAACATTTATATTGAATATATAAAATAAAAATTAATTTTATATAAATTTATAAAAAAACTATCAAAAAAATGAAAAAAAATAGTAAATTATCAATCAAATTTGAATTATCTATCAAATTTATTCTATGATTTGAGTTGAATTATTTTTCTTCTTATTATTATTAATATACTCAAATTTTAAAAATATATATTTTACTTTTGTAAATTTTTAATTATAAATTTCTTAATTTATTTCGAAAATTTCGAGTGAAATCCCCCCTCACACTTTCGTTTTCCAATTCAGTCCCCCCTCTAAAAAATGTCCTCTGCACTCCCTACCCTTAATTTGCATTTTTCATTTCACTCCACATATATAAGGTAAGCGTTTTATTATTGATTTAATTTTTGCCTGAATTCATTTTTGTAAGACTTTTCTCTCTCCTCGCCGTTCTCTTCTCTCTCTATCTTTCATCGATCTCTGCTTCCTCTCTCTCTCTTAGAATTCTCGTCGCCATCTCTGCTCTCTCCATCGATCTCTGCTCTCTCTCTCTCTCTCTCTTCGAATTCTCGTTGCCATCTCTGCTCTCTTTCTCTTTGTTCGTTCGTCGCCATCTCTGCTTTCTCTCTCTCTTGTTCGTTCAACACCATCGCCCGCCATCTTCGTCTCTCTCTCTGTCA